GCAGTGATGAGGGTGCAGGGCGCCGGCCCCCTGCCCAGAGCTGAAGGAAAGGGGCTAATCCCGGGAGAGCTGTCAATGGTCAAGGCCCGATCACTGATTGAGGAAGGGGAGCCCACACATCTGGGGTCATCAGATAAGCCTGGCCTTGGGGCTCAGCCTGGAAAGAGCTGGAAGGTTCTGGATTCATCTAAGCAGCCGACTTGAAAAGGTGGAGGGCCAGCCCTGAGGTTTAGGCCTAACCTTTCCTCAGGGAAATGGACACCCCGCAGGCAGTGCGTGCTGGGTCCACACGACCGAAGACCTGGCTGTGGGAGAAGAGAAGCCAACAGCTTGTGGTTCATGCCCTGGAAACAGCTCTCAGCCAATGATGGGGGGCGATCTGGCAGGTCACTAACCCAGCTCCCTCTTCACCCGGCTGCGTCATCTCAGCGCATGACTAGTGGGTCCCATGGGCCCTCCGCTCAGCTGCCTGCAGTGGCCACACCTGATAACACGACTGTCCTGCCTCAGCCCCACTTCCCACCTGGTGTCCCCGACCTCCTCCCAGATGAATCAATGCACTGCTCTCGGGCCAGCTTCTGGGGGACCCACTAATACACTGGAGAGCAGGGCAGACAGGAAGACAGGAGTCTGGTGGGGACAGAGGGACAAGCAGGGCCACCAGGGAGGGGTCCCTGGGCAGGTGCCTGTGACAAGGAGGCAGGAACTGTGTCTATCCTAGGATGCAGAAAGCTGCCAGATGGCGATGATGCCACACCTGGAACACCTGTTTAGTTCATCAGGTGGCCTGTGAGGCACAGGAGAGGGGAGACCGGGCCCTGGAGTCTGCCCCTGCCATGAGCTGTCCATGTTGCAGTGCCAACACCCCTTCTGTCCCCCGGCAGTAGCAACAGTCTAGAGCACCAGGCCCTGACCCAGCCATTCTCAGGGCCCCAAACTGGGATTGGCTTATGCCAGCCTCGTTGGGCCCCCCAAATTGGACTAGGTCCTCTCCTGGGAAATCTTTCAAAAGGCGGGGGAGATAAATAAAAAAAAATTGATTTATTCTTCCTGGCACACAGGGCAGGTGCTTTGGGGGCCCACATTCTAAATAAGGGGAACTTGCCACTGACTCTGAACATTCCTGTCCACAAGCTGACTGCTCCCCATTCAACAGTGGGAAACCGGAAACAACCTCAATCAGTGACCACGGGCGTGCTGACACAGCGATACCACGCTGCTGCACAGCTGTCCACGGTGAGGACACGAGGGACAGAGTGTACAAAACAGTAGCCTGTCCATCAGCCTGTGTGCAGTTTCTTGCTGTCACACCAGGAGGGAGAACCCTTTCCAACAGAAGGGGCACCGTGCTGGTCCATGCCCCCCACCCCCTGGTGCCACCAGCCCTTAGGTCGCCAAATTGGGACCCCCATGGTATCCTCGAATACTGCTGTGAGCACAGCCAGGCACCAGGGGACCTCCTAGTGGCCAGGACACACTGGCAGCTCACCCTGAGCCTCTGGCCAGCTAAGCGCCCCAGTCTCCACACACGGCTGTCAAGTCTGGTCACACCCAGCCCGTGCCTGACAAATACTATTCCTTCTTCATCACCAAGGGACGGAAAACACATCACAGCTGATTTAGGAGACGAGAAAGATAAAGCACTGAACCTAACACAGCTTCTGTTTTGATGTTTCTTTTTTTTAACTAGTGATTATGTTTTCAGCATAGTTGTCAACAGAGCACACTCGACTTTTTGTCTTTTGCATTCTCCTTCGTTGCCTATTTTTAGTGGCTGTGTCAGGAGGAGACCATTACCAGCGCCCTGGTTCTTTCCAATTTTCATTGTCATCAGTAACACGGCTACGAACACTGTGCAGGAAATACTCTCCATATTTCAGATATTTTCCTAAAACTGTATTTCTGGGATGACCACAGGGAGCTCATTTTCATGGCTCTTCAAGCTGACAAACTTCTTTTATTATTATTATTATTATTACTAGAGGCCCAGTGCACGAAATTCATGCGCAGGGTGGGGGGATCCCTCAGCCTGGCCTGCAATGATGCCAGCGTCCCTTGCCCCAGCCTCTGGCTAGAGGCCCCTCCCCTCCCTCTGTGCAGCTGGTGCCCCCCACCCCCCTCCGGGTGGCCGGGGCGCGGACACTGGGCTCGTGTCATTGGGGGCAAGGTGAGCCCAGTGTCCCGCACCCAGGCCAATGGCCAGAAGCCCTCCCCTCCCTCCACGCAGCTGGGGCGCGGACGCTGGGCTCGCATTGCTGGGGCGATGCTGCCAAAGTCCTGCCCTGGCCACTGTGGGTGCCACCATCTCTGTCTCTGAGTGATGGTTAATTTGCATATTACTCTTTTATTAGATAGGATTTTCAAATTTCTTTAAAAAGCAATTTGCACATTTGCATTTGCACCAAGTGAGTACCCATTTCCCAATACACTCAACAAAAGTTATATCCGATTAAAAGGTGCAAAAGACATGGCCCTGTGCAAGCCCTCATTCCTCTGAGCCCGTCTACTCGCTGTCTGTTTACTGGCGCAACCAGATCGCCCATGCATGTCGTGGTGGACACTGGCATGTACCACCAAGATCCCAGCCTGTTGCCCCAACAGCAGAGACTGTGGTGAGTTGGCAGCCCAGGGAGGTTGCCCCTTCAAGGACCGCCCTTCAGGGCCAGCCCACATCCCATAACCAATTGAGGAATAAAGACCAGGACACCCCAGTTCAACTCAGAACTCTGGGGGGCTGTTCTAGCTCCAGAGCCCCCGTGCGGTTGGTGGAGACTGTTACTGGGGTTGCATCATGGCTCAACCTTTCCCTTTGCCCCCTGTGCTTCCATCCCTTTGTTTACATAGGTGTCGATCCCAAGGGCGGCCCCAATAAACATCCCACACATTAAACTCCATCTCTGTTCCCTGGGGAACACGACCCATGACGCATGTCCTTGGGCTGTGAGTTCTTGTGCATTTCAGCCCAGTGCTCTGGCCTGTCAAAGCCACAGAGAACACCAGTCTTGGGTGGACTCCCCATTCCTTCCGAGGCATCTGCATATTGCATGGCCCTACTGCCCGAGGTCCCTTTATCTGACGGACTAATGTTCCTGGAAGGACCGAGCCCTTCAGGCCAGGACAGGAAACCTCCCCAGGTGAAGGCTAGGTACCCCTGCAGCCCTGCTTCCCCGACTCGCCCCTCATGCATGGCCCACACGGTCCCTTCTGATGACTCCCAGTCATTTGTGTGGAAATCTTTTCCAGAACTGTGCCTGGGACTGATGCCCGGTCTGCCTAACTGCAATTTGGGCAAAACCTCATCGTGAAGTGCGTTTTCTTTTGACAGCTCTGCTTCCAACCACCATCGCTTCTCAAGTGCTATGGACGGTGGATCTCAGGGATTAGATGCCTGGGATCTAACTGTCGGCAACTGGAGACGTGCACTCATCCACAGCAGCTCCGCAGACCCATGCAACTCCTTAACGAATGGGACTCTCAGGTCCTCCTCTCTCTCCCCCATTTCCAGACCATCCTCCCTAACCGGGATGGAGCAAACGAGGGGCGGAGATGTTGTGCCTTTATTCCGTCACCGATTCACACAGCACCACCCACTGGCGCCTGCAGGAAGCCTTTTTATTTATTTTTCCAGTCACTCGTTTTGTCCCCAGCCCATTTCTTACCAGTCATCATCTCCATCCCATAACCAGAATCTTCCGAGGGTAGATGCCCGGGCATCGAATCTGTCATTTCCTCAGAGGTTGGCGACGGGTCTGGAAGTAAAACTCCAAATGATAAGAGAATCTCCTGCTTGTCCCACCCCATCACGGTCCCTCAGGGACCCGAGTCCAGCATGTCACAGAGCAGGACCCTGTAGGAAGCCGTGCCCTGGGACTCTGGGAGGGCAGTCTTAATGGTCGGAGGCCAGGCGGGGCCAGGGGCCTGGAACTATGGGCTCAGTGGTTACCCCATGCTGACCCTCCAGAGGCCAAGTACACCCTCCTCACTGACGTGGAAACTGAGGCTTGAAGGTTCCAAGTCTGGAGTCAAACTCAGATCCTCTTACACCAATGACTTTTCTTCTCCTCCCTCCTGCCTCCCAAATCCCAGGGGAGCCAGGCCAGAGAGGTAAAGGTGGGGGGAGGGAGCCTTTCGGAAGCCTGGGGCTAAGGCCTGACTCCTGGCACACAGGGCAGATGCGGCTGCAGAAGGCATATGCGATACCCCACCACCCTCAGGACCGAACTAGAGAACCAATAGGGGTCACCCCAGTCTAGCGGGGTGGTTCCTGGAGGAGCCCTGTTGTGGGGGTTGCTCGATTCCTGTAGGGTCAGGTTGGGGCTGCAGGGGCAGCCCTCAGATGCTTGTCCCTTACCTGGGATGGTGACCTGAATGATATCCAGATCCTCTGGCTCCATTTTGATGGGCCTCAGCACCCCAAGCTCCCCCGAGGTTCCTGGGAGGAGACAAGAGATCCAGTCAAATGTGGACATGAGCGTGGGTGGGCAAGGCGAGTCATTCCAAAACATCCTATTGTCTGGGACTTGCTGGTAGCACCCAGGAAAAGTATCGGCCCCTATGCTCCTGCCCAGACCAGAAACAGAGGGCCAGGCAGGACGTCAGGCCAGGCCTGGTGGCTCTAATTTACAGACCTGGCAGCTGATGCCCACAGAGAGAAAGCCACTCGCCATAGACATACTAGGACGTAGTGGTGATGCCAGAATCCAGGTCTCCCAACTCCCTCTGTGCTACCAAATCCCACCTGCCCCTCCCTGCCCCCACCCCGTGAGCTCCCAGCTGTGCTGCAACTCCCAGATGCTCTGAGGCCTGGAGGGTGAGGGGCAGGGGTGGGCAGAGGATATTAACGAGGACTCCAGGCTCATGGCGGGGTGCTGCACCCTGCGGGGTCCTGCCCCTCCTCACCTGGCCCACAGTCTTCAGAGATCCCGCTCCTGTCTGACCTGTGGGAAGGAAGCCGAGAAACGACATGGCACCAGCCCAGCTCTGCCCTCCAGGCTGCCAATCAGAATGCACCCCAGACCACGCTCACTCCAGCCCCACAGAATGGCCCTCTCCACAGCACGGTTCCCAGTATCGGGACAAGAGCCTGCTTGCTCTCCTGGGGTGAACTGTCTGGGTGTCCACCTTCCCCCCAAGCTGGGAGCTCCTGAGGCCTCACTCTGGCCATGTTGGAGGCTCAATTTAGCACAGTGGGGGGTTGACCAGTGCCTTCTGGGAGGACTGAGAGCTATAGCCTAGAGGGGGGTTGGGAAGCAAAGCTGGGCAGGGTCGCCGGGATGGATGATTCAGTTAATTCACGGAGCCTGGAGGGGAAGCTGGGCTGGACATGGGGACTTGGGATAAATGGCCCACCCTGTATGGGTGGCACTGGTAGATGGTGACAGGACAAAAAACTGAGTGCAGGGCCTTGTGCACACGCAGGGCAGATGCCTGGTTGCCAAGGAAGGCTTCTGAGACCAGGTGACATGCAGCTTGTTCCCAAGGGGGGACAAGTTCTCCAGGTGGAGAAAAATCGGCGGTCTCTGTCCTCCTTCTCTGTCCCTTTATCTCCCTGACCCAGTGGGGTGAGGACACACTGTGTGTGTCAGGGTGTCTACGCGGGATGACCCTGTGCCTGTGAAAGGCATCAGGGGGTTGGGAGACAGTGGGCACAGCATCCTGGGCCAGCCCTAGGCCTTGTTCCTCCCTGCAGGTGCCGCCACCTCATCCAGAGTGGGGGTGCTCATGGGCTCGGAGCTGGGGTGTGGCCTTACCGAGCAGTCCCGGCCAGGTCAAGAACGGTGGCACGGGAGACTTCTGCAGAGGTGTCCTCTGGCGGGCTGGCTGGCTCCAGTTTCGTGGGGTCTTTGGTAAACTTGTTCCCTGGGTGGAGAGTTGGGGAGGGGAGGGGGAGGTCAGGGTGAAGGCTCTCCAGCCTCCTCCTGCCTGGGCAGGGGACTCTACATGAAGCTTTTGGGAGCACCCTTGGGTGTGGTCTGGTCTCGGACCCTCCATCTTGCAGGCTCCATGTCTGGCTGGGCCAGGGTGTGTCCTAGGGAA